AAAAAAAAAAAAAAATAGCATAGTGACAGCTGGAGCACAGATGATGTGACTGGTGGCTACATGTAGAGTCCATTGAGACAGAGGGTGTGTGGGAGGTGAGGGATGGGCAGGGAGAAACCCAGGCAGGGATGGGGGTGAGGAGGCTTTTCCAGGCATCTGGGAGACATAAAGGGAGAGGGCAGCTTGAATAGAGCAGATTCAGGAAATATTGAAAAGGAAGAAAAACATTTGGCCCCTAGTCTGACATATATGCTTAAAATGGTAGAACAAATAAGTCAAATGGCCTTTCTTCCTCCCCCATCCTCCGTTTCTCCCTTTCTCTTCTCTTTTGAGATAAAGAACCAAGGGTACTTAAATTAGAAATTTTAAGAAGCATAAAATGTTAGCTTGAAACGGTGCCTTAGAGACCATCTGCTCAAACTAAGACCTTCTGCAGATGAGAAGGCCGAGGCCTTGGGTGGCACAGGCGGGGCTTGCCCAAGGCCACACATCCCATGAGACTCAGGGCCAGCACTGGAATCAGGGCTACTTGGCTGCTGAATGAAGGGATTTTTCTGCTGAGTAGTTGGCTTAGTCTGATTCAGATGCCTCCTCTGGCTCTGGGATCAGTGGAGTTCCAACCTAGGCTCTACCACTTTCTAGCTTTGTGATCCAGGAACAGTTCAAACCCGGCACACCTGTTTTCTCATTTTCTATAAAATGGGGATAACGATGACTTCTCTCCTATGGGATTGAGACTAGGAATCATTGAAGACACTGTTTTGCACAGCGCCTGACAGGTACTCAGAGCTCCAAAAATGTGAGCTATTAGTGTGATTGCTATTATCCTAAACAAAGGGAAGGGAAACCAGGGAGAAACCAAGGATGCCTTCGCAGAGTAGCTGTGGAGTCGCAGTCCCAGTAGAGGATGGACGGGCTGCCCAGAGGCCAGGTGGCAGGTGAGTGAGGTAGTGTTCAGGGACCAGGTGAGAGGACAGAGAGCAGCAGGGCTGTGTTCAGGTGCAGAGTCCAGTACCTCAGCAGGTGAGGAGTCTACCAGGTGAGCTGTGGTCTCAGCCTAACCTGCAGATTGAGGTCTAAGGCCACCCACTGAGCTGGAAGGAAGAGGAATTTTTTTTTTTTTTAGTTTTTTTTCACGGATTTTTCCTGCCTTAAGGAAGAGGATTTTGGAATCAACAAAGACACGAGGCCAGGTGTAGTGGCTCACATCTGTAATCCCAACACTTTGGGAAGCTGAGACGGGAGGATCATCTGAGGTCAGGAGTTTGAGACCAGACTGGCCAACATGGCAAAACCCCAACTCTATTAAAAATACAAAAATTAGCCAGCATGGTGGCGTGCACCCGTAATCCCAGCTACTTGGGAGGCTGAGGCACGAGAATCTCTTCAGCCTGGGAGGCAGACATTGCAGTGAGCCAGGATCATGCCACTGCACTCCAGCTTGGGTGACAGAGCAAGACTTGGTCTCAAAAAAAAAAAAAAAAAAAGAGATGAGAGGGTTCTAGAAGGAGGTTTCTCAGGGAGGCAAGAAGGAGGGAAATGACAGAGTGATGACCCACAGGAAGGAGTCGGCCAAAGGTTGGACCCTGTGAGTTCACAATGAGCCAGTCCGAGTGGCCCTGTCCTTATGCCACTGCGCAGGCTGCAGAAGGAGGTGCCGTCCATGTTGGGAGGAGCGCAGCTGGAGCATGGGCCAGGACACTGCAGAAGGACATCTGCAGAGCCCTGGTCAGGAACAGGGCTGGTGGTGGCAGCTCAGCAGGGCTCACCTTCTCCTCTGCAGATGCAGAGCCCTCCTGAACGCATGTGTTCCCCTGAACATCCTTTGCCAGTCTTGAGTCTTCACATGGCTCAACAGCAGGGCCGTTTCCTCCTTCAACTATAAATGTTTTTAAACATTAGGAGTTGCAGTTCAAAACTTAGGAAAATAACACCAGGCTGCCTTCTATTTTATAGGCACTCGTCCCATTAGGAATTGGCATTGCCACAGGAGAACAGGTGAGTGACGCCAACAGGTGAGTGACATCCCCTTGGGGTCAGTACACGCTGACCAGCGACCAAGGACACAGTCGTGTGTTAGGCTCCATCACCTGCTGTACTTTCAGTTGGGAAATTTTCATCATCTTAGAAACTGGGTCATTTTATCAGAGTCTAGTCAGATACAGAAAAAGTTTGTGGCTATTTCTCCAATTTATATGACTAAGATCAGTTATGTTTTTCAAAGGGTCTAATTGAAATTGACAAGGCAGCAATTTAAAGTTGCTATTGCAAGGGCAGAAAATGGTGTTAAGAAAGCCAGCTTTCAAATTGAATAAACATGACTGCGTTCACTTTTTGAGCTTATAAATGAAGCCCAAGTGCCTGCCAAAACCTGCTGCAGTCAGCCCACGAGCAGAGCAGCGTGAGGAGCAGAGTCTCTGTTTTCCCGGCAAAAGGAGCAATACTGCTCTGCCGCGGTTCCGCGTTGTCGTCTGTGCCACCTGCTCATCACTGTCACCGTATTTCATCCTGATGCTTCAGTTCATCTCCCACTTATCAGTCGCTGTGACAGTCATTCCCTCATAAATGGCGAGCCAGTGTGATTTTACCCTGACTCACACTGTTGCATTAGCAGATTTGTAAAGAAGTGAGCACAAGGTCCCTGCCCACACTAGAAAAACATGCCTCATGCCCGGCGAGAACAAAGACAAAATACAGTCTGGGCTTCCCGAAGGCCACTGATGAGTAATGATTGGCATAGAGGGGCCGCGTTGCCAGGTTTTAGAGATCCTGAGGGCCAAGGCTGACTCTTCTGTTGGTGTTATGTTCAATTCTATTTCCAGTGCCACAATAGAGTGATATTTAAGCAACTCCTACAGGCGAAGGCCCTGCAGTTCCTCCAGATTGACAGTTGCAGACTGGGCAGTGTCAATGAGAACCTCTCAGTATTGCTGATGGCCAAAAAGTTTGAAAGTAAGGGTGCTGCAGTGGCTGCAGACCAGACCTTCATTTCCCCACTAATCAGACACCTCCCTTGATGGCTTGCAGTTCACACGCGGAGTCTCTAGTTTGCCATTTTGATTTCTTCTAACTCATTTAGCCTTAATCCGGGAATTATTGATGATTTTCATCTTGGAATTTCATCCCTAAATATTAATGAATGATTTAATCACCTGTGGGCAATAAGAAAAACCAGAAAGTTCCCTTTCACCCCTTCCTCTCCCTGCCCTACTCTTGGTATTAAATAGAAACAATTTCCTTTTAGTTCCTGTTTGCCCCCATGCTGGTGGAGTTGGCCTCTGTGAACTGGTGCAGCACTTGATTATATTTGACTACATATCAGTCTCTGCAAGCCTTAAAAACAGGTCAGTAATATGGGATTAATACTTTCTGCTTCAGTAGGGTCCCTCAATCTAGGCTAGAGCTTGTAAATTCTGCCTTCATGACCAAAAAACACTAAGACCTTGTCCACTGGCCCGTCCTGTAACTCTCAGGCGGAGTGGGTTCTGCTTCCACTTCTCCACACAGGGCAGTAACAGCAGAGACCCACCAACGAACAGTCATTTTGCCTCCTAGGATAGGGTCTGGTAGCTGACTCTATTTTTTAAGTACATTGAAAGTGAGGCTTGCAACCACACTACTCCCTTAACCAGCTCCTGTTTTCATCACGTGTATTCTGTACTTCTGTCCCATCTCCTCTTCCCAGTACTGGAGTCTTCCATGGTGTAGACATACATTTATTTCATCTTATTTCTCAGAATGCCCCAGTTGGTCTTTTAAATTAGGACAATCTCCTTCCAGTCATCTGCACACATAGGGTTTTGCTTATTACACTTTTCTTGTCTCCTGGAATTAAATGTCCCACAGAAAGATCACTGCAAGTATATAGCAAAGGCAAAAAAGCATTCACTGGGAAAGGGAAACGCCAAATTCAGGACTGAGAGAGATAAATGGGACCCTTGAGGGTACATAGGCGGCTTCAGTAATAATGGTAACCGTTTCTCTCTTCGGGGGGGTAGTGAGTAGACAGGTGCTGTCTTTTAATATAGCGGAACTATTTTATACTGTGTTAGTCTATTCTTGCACTGCTATAAAAAATACCTGAGACTGGGTAATTTATAAAGAAGAGATTTAATTGGCTTACAGTTCTGCAGGCTGCACGGGAAGCAGAGCGACTTCTACTCAGCTTCTGGAAACTTGCAATCATGGTGGAAGGCAAAGGGGGAACAAGCACTTCTTACGGCAAAGAGCAGGAGGAAGAGAGAGTGAGGGGGGAAGATGCTACACGCTTTTAAACAACAGATCTTGTGATAACTATCTCGAGAATAGCACCAAGGAAAGGGTACCAAACTATTCATGAAGGACCACTTCCCATGATCCAATCACCTCCCAGCAGGCCTCGCCAACACTGGGGATTACAGTTCAACATGAGATTTGGGCAGGGACACAAATCCAAACCATATCAGCCTGCCTGTCACAGCTGTTCAATAACAGATGATGGAAGTCAGGCAGCAGATCTCAGTTGCTGGCCCCAAGGCTCAGAACTACAAAGTGGCTGACACAGAACCTGAACACAGATTGCCCCGATTCTAAATCCTCTGCTCTTCATCTAAATCATTTGTATAGCTGAAAGGAACCTCATTTGGTGATTTTATTTTTTGGGTGGAGAGCATGGAATATATTTTATTGTTCTGCATCTGGGTTTGGTTCCCTAGATGTCTCGGTCCTTAGATGGAGGTGGGTGTGTCCCACCTCCCTCAGTTGTGGTCCCATGGACCTGTTCGGATTGTTTATCAGGTGCAAAGTGCACCAAGAAAGTCCACAGTGCTAATGCTTCCTAGATGCCCAGCTGAGGCAGTGACAAAACAGCCCTCCCAGCCAAAAAAACCCCAAGCCCCTGGCAGCTAATGCAGCCATAGGAAAAAATACAAACACTTCTTAAAAAATAGATCACAAAATTTGGTGATTTTAATCTATTCATCTAACTTTTGACCAGAGGAACCCAAATAATTCCGGATATTTAGAGTCTGAATTGATGCCTTTTAAAGGGCATCACAAAACCTCTAGAGGGACTTCGTGTGTTCATTTCATCAAAGTCCCCACCCCACATTGCTATATTTTAGAAGAAAAGCACCTGAGGCACAGAGGTTTAGGAACTTGCCTAGAAACGCATGGTAACACAGCTAAGCCTTGGCCCACACTGTCATTTCTGAGTGGTACTCGCCCCTTCTGCTTTAAGTTAGCACCGTGTGAATAATCCGACTTCAGACATCATTGCCCCAATCTGATTCCTTCCTCCTAGGATGTGTGAGTATGTTGACCACCTGCACGAGCATTTCAAGTATCCCGTGATGATCCAGCGGGCTTCCTACATGCCTCCCAAGGTGAGCTGTGACCTGGGGGCCCCTGCAGAGATGCTGCCAGCCACTACCATGCCTGTCTCGTGAACTAGACCATGGAGCACCAAGCTTTGACTCCTATTTGCAATATCCAGAAACAAACGGTTCTTCAGTTGTCAGTATCAAAATCCTCAGGCCTGAGGGCCAGGGCTTGGAGGTTAAATTGCCTCTGACAAGGCTTCTGTAACACTAGCCTTTCCTCACCAGTGGAGATCTTAACATTTGCACTCCTTGTGCAAAAAAACCTGGCACCATCTAGCAAGTTAGTGACCTAAAAAGTTTTGACTACAATTGTGTGGTTAGGGCCGTTTATTCTGATCATGTTCAAGAGACCATGACTCATTTTCACCAACAGAGGTCAAACTATTATCAAAGAGTTTGATGAGTTAACTAACTGGCAAGTAGCCAGTAAAATGTGTCCCTCTGCCCTATTTCCAACAATCTCAAAACTTATTTTAAAAATATTAATTCGGAGGCCGGGCACGGTGGCTCAAGCCTGTAATCCCAGCACTTTGGGAGGCCGAGACGGGCGGATCACGAGGTCAGGAGATCGAGACCATCCTGGCTAACACGGTGAAACCCCGTCTCTACTAAAAAATACAAAAAAACTAGCCGGGCGAGGCGGCGGGCGCCTGTAGTCCCAGCTACTCGGGAGGCTGAGGCAGGAGAATGGCATAAACCCGGGAGGCGGAGCTTGCAGTGAGTTGAGATCCGGCCACTGCACTCCAGCCTGGGTGACAAAGCGAGACTCCGTCTCCAAAAAAAAAAAAAAAAAAATATTAATTCGGGGCTGGGTGTGGTGGCTCACGCCTGTAATCCCAACATTTTGGGAGGCCAAGGCAGGTGGATCATTTGAGGTCAGGTGTTCAAGACCAGCCTGGCCAATATGGTGAAACTCCGTCTCTACAAAAAAATACAAAAAATTAGCCAGGCATGGTGGCAGGTGCCTGTGATCCCAGCTACATGGGAGGCTGAGGCAGGAGAATCACTTGAACCTGGGAGGTGGAGGTTGCAGTGAGCCGAGATCACGCCACTGCACTCCAGCCTGGGCAACACAGCAAGACTCCGTCTCAAAAAAAAAAAAAGAAATCCACGGGATTCAGCCTCCCAAAGTGTTGAGATTACAGGCATGAGCCACCATGCCCGGCCCATTATTATAAATATTAAATGGAACAAAATCCATAAAGTGCCTAGCGGAGGAGGTGTGCCATTATGGAAGAGTTTAGGCTGTTTATTATTGTGCCAGACACATAGTGGGCAATAGTCAATAAATGACCGTTGAACAAACTTCATGTTGATTGTGCATGATTCAGAATGTGACAAAATGGTTTCTACAAACAGAACCAACACTGTAAGACACATGTATTTGGATGGCATCTAAATGGAGATTGGACCAGAGCCCAGGGCCAGCGAGCATTTCTCATGGCCCAGCCCAGAGCACTGCCGGACCTCCCAGCGGCTCCTCGAGCAATTCACAGCTCCTCCTAAAGACTGTACCTGGAGCCAGAGTCCCCGTCTCAGTGGCTGCTCTCGGACTCTTTTTGTTAGGGCTGTGTGCTGGGCCTCAGCGGAGGTGTTAGGGGGTCTCACTCGGCTGTTGGTGGCACTGAGTGACAGCATTTCTTCCCTGGGAGCCACAGCCCTGCCACGAGGTTGGCTCAGAGCAGACCTCCCTGTGAAGAGTCTCTTTTTGCAGATGATGGATGCCAACCAGCGCTGGGATGTGCCTGAGGCAGTGGAGTGGATGTCCAAGCTGGCCAAGTTCAAGCCATTGTGGATTGAGGAGCCAACCTCTCCTGATGACATTCTGGGGCATGCTGCCATCTCCAAGGTAGGAAAACGGCGGCTGCTGCTGGGGCACCTTATTTTTTGTTTAGTTTCCCAGAGTGCTGGGGACGGATCCTAAAATTTCTTCACTTGTTCCCTCTTGCATTTATTTCCTGATGAAGTAGCTGAAATAATTGTAGTGTGTGACAAATACTTTCTGAGGAATCATTCCACAACAGGAATCTCAGCTGATGAGCCCCTGGGAAACAAGACTTTTCACCTTGGGTCCCACTTGCTTTTTCCTCCTTAGGGCTCTTGCAGGGTGGCTGTGCCCTGCTGAATGCCAGCTGGCCTAGCACCAACCTGATCTCTGCCCAACTGAGCATCTCCCAGGAAGCTGCTCTGGGCTTTAACCCTCCCAGGTTTTGCTTACAGGAGGGAGGCCATCCCCTTAGGAGCATCTGAGGAAGGAGCAGCTGCACAGCCTGCAGGTCCAGGCAGGGGCAGTGGAGATGCCCCAGGGAGTACAGGGCACACGCTGGGGAGCTGTCAGACAGGCTTCCACATGGGGCTGGATTATGGGGTCTGTCCACTCAGAGGATGCAGCCAGTCAGAGAAAGCCACTGCAGCTTCTCCAATGAAAGAACGGCATAGTGGCCGGACATAGTGGCTCACACCCGTAACCTCAGCACTTCAGGAGACCGAGGTGGGTGGATCACCTGAGGTCAGGAGTTCAAGACCAGCCTGGCCAACATGGTGAAACCCCATCTCTACTAAAAATACAAAAATTAGCTGGTTTCG